TTGAGGCTTGTAAAACTGTCATTATGGAGTAGAAAACACAGAGTCGGTACGAAGAAGAAGTASCAAATTTCACACTGAACATTGAACAAGCTTCATTTTAATCACTTAAGTTTTCATTAAAAATGTCGAATAATGGTGAAAAAATYCACAATTTGTTGCGTCAATTGAGTTTCTTYCTATTGGCACCAACGCTAAAGTTTGCAGTGRAATCCAAGTACCACTTAATCTAACAATGGTCATCAAAAAGTTAAAATTACTTTAGCTCGAACTGACGTAAAACTTTGCATCGGATTAATTTCCTAACATACAATTAGTGATAATTGCAATTTGGAAGTAAATAGGCGTGGTGCTTAGTGAAAAAACAAACAAAAAACGTTTCATGTCTGTTCTGCCATTTTCCTCCTGCTCGTAGCGATAAATCTTTCGAGCGAGGTGAGCTCATAATCGTTACCCTTTAAAGATTTCGAAAAGCAAATTTATCTTTCAGGGCTGTACGAATATTGCAGCGATTCTGCCGTTATTGCTTTTCTTAAAGCAGTCCGTGATATAATATCGTTTTGTTGAAGCAAGCTGTAGGAGGAGATAGTACGGCAGCTGCTAGTTTATTAGTCGCCTTGAAAATAAATTTTCTTGCGCTTTTCAAGTACATAAATTACCTTCCTCGCGTTCAGTGTTAAATGGAAAATTTTCAATTAATGAAATCGCGTCAAGGCGAATAACAGTGATATTTTAAGATGTATCACAAACCCCAAAATGATTAGAACTGATTATCTATAAAGAAATCCAGCCAAGGGAAAATAAAAATTTTTATCTGGATACAATCGAAATAATATTCAAGTTAACGTCCTAATCGGGCATTGTCTGTTCGACATTTATTGTGGAAATTATACGAAGAAAATGGCTGAAAAACTGTTTTACCGTTGTTAAAAGGGCTAAAGCATGTCGGCTATTACTTAAATCGTTATCTTCGGATCTGACAGCAGAGGAAAAAGCGCCACAAATTCTCCAACTTTTGTCGCGCCAAAATCGCCTTTCCTCCATCTGATTTAATAGCATTAAAACGCTCATATTCTTTGGGACACGGCGAACTTTCCCGTCTTTTAACTTGATTTAAGTGTTTTATTAAAACAGCCACCTCTCGAAACACGACTGGCTTTCTAAAGGGCATAAGATGAATGAATATTCATTGGTGCGGTGGTAGCAGACTTGCAGCCATCGGGACAATAAACCTTTTCCACTACTTAATGTTCAGTTAACGTTCTAATGAAAACGTTTGTAACCGTAAATTCTTCATCTCGTCTAAGCGTTGGAATTAAAAGCTGATGTTGAAAGTTGCTGAGATAGAGCGAGAAATGTGTGGCTTGTTTCAACTTTAAGCGAGAATTTCATTTAAGACAATGACGGTTTAGTCTTTCCGTTTCAGCACTCCTTTATTTTATTTTTCAGTAGCGCACCATCAATGTCCACACAGATGAAATCTTTGTTAAAAAAAATCCTTTTCTAAGAGCGTGTTCAATTGGAAACTTTAAGCAATTATTATGCCTGTTTTCATTCCGTTTATGATTTAAAATATAACTAATATTTTCTTAATGTCATCAGTTCATGTTCTTTAAAAGTTAATTGATTTGCTATGAAATCTAATGCTAATTAAAAAAGTTATTGATCTGCTAAATGAGCAGCACTATGGATTTATCAGATGAATAACTTCTAAACGCAATATTAGAAGCCGCTGGTAAGGTAAAGAACGATACGAAACGGAATACAGTAAGCACATTTTATTAGCTGGTGTAATAAAAAAGGAGCAAGCGTGAAGTATTTTTGGCCCATTTTGCCGATCTCAGCAATATTCATAAAGCCAGCACTTTGGCTTGTTATTCAATGATAGAAAGTGTTCCAAAAATAATGAAAAACATCGACATAAGTAAATTCTATAAAGCAGGAGTTTATCTAAAGAAGGAAAATAGTGGATGTCGGTCACAAAAGACTAAAGTATCTACAAAAGAAAATATATCGAAATTTCTCGTAAAGGGCACCAGACGAAACGAGCTTCATGTTAAAGTGGCTACTATTTTCTGCTTGGAGCTTGTCATCAGCCGAAACTAACACAAATAACTGTTAATAATACAACATAACACAGAGGATAAAGGAAACCACATAATAGTTAAAATAGCAGACGGAGATGGAATTTCAGATGACGTAACAATGGATTTTTCATAAAATTCTAGATGAAATATACGCGCTTATGACCGCCAACCACTTCACATCGCCATATTTTATTAAATGTTCAAAAGGTAAATGCACTGCTCAAAATCGCCTAAAGCGATGGCCTGTGAATGCTTCAAGATTTTGAAGATGTAAATAAGTTGCAATTTCGGAAGACATTTTCCCAAAATTGTAAAATTTTAGGTTGGTTGGATCGAAACAACAAAGCAATAATATGCAACTAAAATGTGAGCGTCCCTTCGGCTTCATCATTTTTGACCTAATTTTCAAATTAAACTACCTTACAGAACAGTCACTTGCCCCAGCAGTAAAGTTCAGCTATAAATTTGCAAAATGCTATAAACTCCTCGTTTACCATTAACATAAACGATAATAAAATAGATTAATGGTTTGTTTTTGTTAGTCTCCAAGTACTCGTACATAATTCTTATTTGTTTAACTTTCACATACAATTATTTACTTTGAATACAATTTAATTTTTCTTAATTGCTTCTTTATTTGCACCAGTAGATAAATATTGTTCCCTCATTCGCAGCCAGCGTGCGCAAAAGGATCACTTTTCACACTAGTTCTCTTTTTAACGGTGTCGAAATGAACGCACTGGCACAATTTCTTCCTGAGATATGAGCAAAAAAGTGACACAATACAGTGGTCTTACAATTAAAAGAGAAATATTCAAATTTCCAAAATGACAAATGATGAAAATAACCGATTATCTAATGTGATTGTGTGATTTGTGACAACTTTTGAGCCTACTTGCATCTTCGAAACGAAACAGCTCCAAAGAATTTAAATTTTCACTCAAGAACCGGCAATTTTTCAATTAAGAAGACTCATCAATAATCCCTTTTAATAAGTAAATTTGTGGACTACGTGCTTCAAGTATTGTGAACCTAACCAAATGTAGAGCTAAAAGGTTTAATTTTGCCGGTTGTTAAATATGCAATGCAAAAACTGACCGGGAGAAGACATAGAGGACTAAACATGTTACAATGTTGCATAGAAAAATTGAAACTGCTCTTTCAACCGTTAATAATAACTGTTGATAATAACTGTAACCCGAGTAATAAATAATAAATCTCCAACTTCGCCATTTCTAAATGTAAAGTTGGCGTTGATCGTTGCCTTTCATTCTCCCTGGTTTACCTCAACAATTCGCTCTGCTTGCATGTTATTCGAGGTAGTCAGACACCGTTTCGTTCTTGCACCACCGCCGACATAATATGTTTAGTTGCGGAATATGTACATGCACACTTCAGCTAAACACAATTATAAACTTGCGAGACGCGAATAAGCTTTACAAAACTAATTGTTGGCGTATTTGGCACGGTGCATGGAAACTCGTTTTTGGCTGGTTTCATTCGGCATCTGTGCCAGATGAAAGCCGCTGCTGGTTTCATTTGAAAGACATTTGCTTGGTCTAAATAGCAGACTTTATATGTATATCATGTAAATTTCCTTTCGGCCTTATTATTGCTACTAATTTGCTTCTTTTTCGTTAAGTTAATTAAAACAGCACTAAATATCCTGCAAAGCAATAAGACAATCACAGATTAACATAGAAAATGGACGTGGATCTAAACAGCTCAAAAGATGACCTATTGTTTGAACTTTGTGAAAACATCTTTTACTATTATTTGTTTTTAATGTTTTCATTTTTTTAATTTTCAGGGTCTATAAAGTTTATTACTAGTTGTTCGTCTTGTTTGGATCTCATATTTTTTTATAAAATCTCCAGGATTTGTTTGATTTTGTGCCACCAATATTTGTATCCAGGTCTTGGTTTTTGTTTCCCAGCTTCGGTTTTTTGCTTCTACTACCGCAGATTTAAATTTAATTATTACACCTCTATGGTTCTTTTCATGTTCTTGTTCTTTCATATTCAGCCATATTTGATATGACTATTGCTTTTGTTTTTTTCTTTCTTGCAGCTCATCGTTCCACCATTAAGTCTGCCTTCTGGATATGCTTTTTTTTATACTCAAGGCTTCTTTGGCTGCTTGGGGCAGTCCTTTTATAATTATTTCATTTCGGTGTTCAGTTGTTTCATGACTTCTTGTGGTCGTTGTTGGACTAATATTTGCTTATAAAGTTGTCTTGATCCACTTGAATGAAGCGGTTTGGATTTTGTAAGTGTTTTTTTGCTTTTGTTTTATGTCAGCATACATTGTACAAAAATGGTGAAAGAAGTAATATTTTATCTGAAATTGAATTTTGCTACAATCCGCCCATTGAACTGTTCGATGGTAAATAATCCCCAATCGCAATGATGGTGTTTCCGAAATTGAATTGGGAACAACCTCAATCATCAGTTGGCTGTCCACAAAATGTCCTATTATTAATTAAATCGTAAATCAGAAACCTAATATCGCATCGACGATATACTCGTTGAAATCATCGGCCAGATCACTTTCGGTTTAATACCGTAATTAGTTTATCAATATTCTGTTAGAATAAACCCGTCCATTATGGGGCACTCGCAAATATTGATCAATTCATTTGAGAACGAACGCACACTGAAACCAAATAAACAGAAACGGTAAACGCAATATACTCGTCTTTTGGTCGAAGCTGATTTATTCAGCAATTTGCAATTGGTTGTTGGTTATTTCGGCAACAATAGGAATCCGGGCATGTGTGTGGGATGCGAATGTTTATTTATAGAAATCAGTCAAAACAGCGCCAAACCCTTTCCAGAGCTTCGTAACACAAACTTAGGATTTAAATTCATTAATGTACCCATTTTTTTCGTGTTGCTGAAATTACTAATTTTTCAGGAGCCCCAGCTTTCTTCAGCATACCAACTTTCGTAGATTAAGCGAGGGCATTTTCAGGTAATATAACCGACACATTAATACAAAATCATTCGCCCTGGGCCGTGGGATCGCACAATAACCTACTTAAAAACTCATTGTCATTATGCTTTTTCAGGATTATTACCACATAAAGTGCTTGAAACCTTTCATTTCAACTAACCCCTTTACACTTTCTTTGTGGCTTGGCTGCGAATAACGTTCTTGCTCATTGTGTATTTCCAGCAGAGTAATAAATATATTCAGAAGTTATTAAAGGTGCACCTTTTTTCACAAACCCCGTATAACTGATTATTAGAGAGAATAATAAGCGCTCTGTTTTTCCACTCCCAGTTTTCAGGAACAAATTTGGTTTTAATTTTAATGTGCTTTTTGCATGTTTTGCACACAGTCGGTCTTAATAAAGCGGAGTTTTTACTGATTTCAATCGAACGCTCCTAAGTGTGTTTTATGTAATTTTGCTACATTTTGCCGAAATTAAATTAAACAACTACATAAATTCACCAGCTTTGGCAGATTAAATATTTCTTAAAATTTTCAATAGTGCAAAGGAGACTAAATCTCTCGCGACGTAAACCCGATGCAACCGAATACCTGGTGCCTTCGTTTCCAATACTGCACGAATCCTTCATAAATACTAGTTATTCAAATGTTGTCATTTAATAACATTGCCAGAACGGCTGCCGATAACAAAAGTAATAAGCGAAAATGCTGTTCGAAGAGCTTTGATCTCGGTGGAAAGCGGCAACAGCTTAGATGCAGCCTCATTATTGGTTTTCGCCCTGCTCTTATTTGACACTCTAAAATTCAATATGAGCTACAGCAGTTTTCAATAAAGTCGACAAGTGAGATCCGCATTTCCAAGCTACCCGAAAGTCAAGACTTTAAATTACTATTTTAGTTGCTATGTTTAACAGCTGCAGCTTGGGAAATGTTCTAAACGCCAATTCTGGTTGCGCACGGTAGAAAACAATTAATGTTGAAAGATTTACCTGCAAAGTGCCCGCATTGACTGGAAATTTGTATTTACTTCATTTTTTATGTGTTTTTGCTAGTTTTATACTCAGCGCTCTTTATTTACTATTGCCCATATTATGTGTATTTTTGAGGACCATAAAACAGTGCGCTCAAAATAACCCAAATTCGCTTTTGTCCATTTTTAGAACCAACAGTGAAAAAGTAAATAAAAGCAGCGGAATCGTTGTAAGCCAAACGAAAATACAAATGAAAACCTAGCAAAAAAATTAGTTTCACTTGAAAGTGACTGTAATATTACATTTCAGGAAAACGGCATTTAAGCAACTTGAATTAGGGAGTTCCATCCAAACATGTGTTGGAAGTTTTCAGCAGTTTTTACGCGCTCAACATGTTACTGTTGAAAATTGCAATTACTTGCTCAAACAACATGAGCGCAACAGCATTCAACTGAAATGAAAAAGTTTTGCAAATAGCGTTCAATTATTTATCAATTACCGCTAGAAATGTTTAATTACCATGTCGAAGCTGGTATTTTTGATTGGCTTCTACACATGTTCGTGGCATTGATTGAAACTTGATTAATCGGAGTTTCGATATGGTAACCCAAAGCTTTGAGGCGAAAAACGTGCCCAAGGAACATATAATTACTATTTGCTTAAACAATTGAAATGTATCTGAGCTGGTATAATTTTGTCGATCTGAATCAGTTCGGCAAACGTATGCAACCTGCTTATAAAAGCAGTAGAACACACACAAAAAATGTCTAATAATTTAACAATTAGCGCAAGTGCTTTGAATGGTTTATTAACTCCTGTAAAAAATTGTATGTATTTCAACTGAACTGTATCGCCCCCATAGATCGAAACACTGGCAAGTGAAACTTTCTGAATCGTTAATTCATTACGATAGATATAAAATCAGATTAAAAGCAAACTTCTGACAATAACACATTATCGGCACGAAACATAGCTGCTATTATTTGTTATTACGGTTCTTTGATGCGTAATTATTGATTTAGGGTTACACTTAATGCTTGATTAAACTGGCTTAATATACAAATCAAAGTTTGTCTGAATGTAAATGTTTATAGGGCGATTTATAGCGATAATTATTTAAATGTGCCAAGTTAACTAACCATCACGCAGAAGCTTGATTTTTTATGTTTTATTTGATGTGCTATAGAATATGATTATGCAGGGCCCGTGAGCACTTAATCAAAAGGGTACTAGTACATTTTTCGGTGTTAAAGGAGGTGATTTGACCTAATTTTTATGACATAAAAATATCTGGATCCTTTGTTGTCGAAGGTTACAGTTTTTCAAAAAGAAATGTTTTTTAAAAAATTGAGAGGAGACGATGGATTTTTTCTGGAAAACACAAGCTGTGAAATTTTTCTTATGTTTAACTCAGATTTTGATGAAGCAACCGGGTTCATCAGCTTTAGGTAAGTGGTAAATTCTTAAGTGTCTTGACACAAAAACTACCAGAACTTTTTAGTTGGTTTCGAAAAGCAGCTGATTTTTAGTTACAAGTTTAGAAGTTAATACGCGAATTGTTTTTTTAATGCACAAATTGGTTTTTTACATTTTTGCGCATTTGGTAAAATATTTCAGAATTCATAGTTTCTGCACAAAAAATATTTATTTTTTCCTGTCGATTGATTATTTTAGATGTTAATTAAGTTTTAACATTAACAAAACTTAAATTAATATTTTTATAATATTGGGAAGCACTAGCTCAAAGGGATTTTAACGAAACTTGCTGCGGAAACTGTGAATGCTACAAGATTTAACAAAGAGGACGAAAATTAAAAAAAAGAATTGGTGCCTCAACTGAAAAAAGTTTAGTTGCCAGTTTAAAAGTTTTTGTATCAAGAGACTCAAGAATTACTCACTTTTTCAAAACTACTAAATTCGGTAGCTTCATCAAAAAGGAGTCTACAACGAGTCTTATTAAAATCCATAGCATCATTCTTCCTATATTTTCTAAAAAGTACTTTGTTTTTAAGAACTTTGACCATCACCCATAGCATAAAAGCCGCAATTTTTTTAAATAAATTTTGATCGAATCGTCTTCTTTTGCGCAAAGAATGCTGCAGTGCTCTTTTAATCATATATACTCGTAGATTGTTCTACCAGTCACTCACTCCAGTTGGTCTTTATATTAAAAATTTTATTAATTAGGTGTCTTTCTTTAATCTCTTTTTCTTTTCATCATAATTTTAATAAGAGGTTTCAAAGTATGCTACAGTAAAATACGGTCCTTACTACTTGATGGCGTCCTTGCTACTTGACGATGATTATGAAATATGTGTTTTTTCCAGTTTTGATGTGCGAAGCAGAACCTTTAATAACGCCAAACTGTGGTCTTCGCCAACCGTCTTCGGTAACCGAGCATACTTCCGACCTTCCACCAATCCAGCCACTCTTGTGATCGACAACATCCAACAATCCGACGAAGGAATTTACCGATGTAGAGTCGATTTCAAAAACTCCCCGACCAGAAATAGCAAAGTGAACTTTACTGTGATTGGTGAGTGATTTCCTGTTCATAAGCCCGTCTGGGCTGTTGGTTATTGTCTGTGTTGTGATTGTTTGGCAAATGAAACAAAAAGAAACATTGAAACTCCCGAAAGAAAATATACCTGCCCCGAAGGGGAATCAGGATTCATATCATATTTATTAATAAACAACGGACCTCCAGAGATAAAATCCCGTAGGCTGAACAAACAGAGGTCGAAAAATACGAAAAATCCGGTTGCCGAGCCGCGGAAAATATCAAATATACCAAAGTATTTATTTCGGCTTAAGTTGCCTATCGTCGATACTATCGTATTAAGAGATTCTGCTCATATGCTAGATTTCCTTGGTATCAGTTTCGCTGGAAAACGCCTTTGCGATAAAACTAGGGATGTCCTTTGTAATTGACTGTTTCGAGGCGGAAAAAAATTGATTCCCTGCCGCAAAAACAAGTCAATCAATCACCTACTAACTAGTGTCGTTGTAGGGCGACATTGAACCACACCCATGAGCATGTCGCCGGAATCGCGAAATCTCTTTTTTCCACTACCGGCAAATTTCGCGTCATTAATCACAAATCGAATGCTGTTCCTCCAATGACAATCTGTTTTTCCTGGCTCATTGATATCGTATTTTTGGCTTCGCCGAATTTATCTCGAGGAAATTTTGTCACTTATTTACCCGGAGCTTCGCGGACGGTTGTTTATATTCCTCTTTGCTTGTTTCGACTTTTTTCACTTTCGCATACATCATTCGAACGGTTTTAGCTAAATGGATCGCTGGCAAATTGCTCACTTTAATCGACCCGAAGGACTCACTAGGAAATGAGTTACAGAGGAGCATTGATGGATATTTGATGGATAAGAACCTACAATAGTCAGTGAAAAACCTTGATTTCTCAAAATTATTCTTTCAAATTAAGAAGAAAGGTGCGAAAAATTGAGTTGAATACGTTCTGAAAGCCTTAACATGGGAAATTTGGAGTCCAGTTAAACACACGTTGTTGCATACACTTCATCAGCACCAAAACCATGAAAATGTGTGTGAATGGCGTGAAAGAATGGAACCAGAATTGTGGCTCAAATGATCCCCAAATGGGAAACGTGCGAAGTTGGTGGTCTTTATTTCTTTTTATTGTTAATGAAAGTTTCATCAAAAGAAAATCTGTCATACCAAAAAAAAAGGTACTACAGAGCCTTTTGGACTTACTCAACCCAAGCAGCACATTTTCAACTCAAACCAACTGCGTGAAAATAACACTGGTGGAAAATTAAGTGTGTAAATGAATAATTAGTTTCGTTAAATAAATTATAAATATGCAAAAAGTCGTTTAAAAAATCAGCAATAAGTTGTTGAATGTTAAATAGTTTAAATTCGCCGCTGATAAACGAGAGGTGTAAGATTATCTATGTTTGAACACATAATTAATGATGACGCTCTAGCGAGCCGTACTTTATGATCAAGTAATTAATTACAGCAAATTAGGGTCATTGGCCAACAACATTTCAGCCTAATTATCGTTATGTATGAATTTTGAACCATTAATTCATATGAAAATGAGAATTTTGAGTAGGAAAACTGGCAAATTAGCCACCGGCAATTTCAAATTAAAACACCAAAAATGTTTTGCACTGAAAGAGGAAACTAAAACCGATTTATTTGAACTTGGCTCACTAGTTGATTCCACGTTGGTGCATAAAGACTTGGTGAAATTTCCAGTTTTCCAATAGCGAATGGTCGCATTTTTATCTGAGAATGTGGAGGAATCGATTGGCCCATTGTGAAGGGTGATTATCTATCACAACAGCGTTTCTATATCCGCTGCCAATAAAATACACGTCTGTCAGTGGGGCTTGATTAATACCGCGTTTCGTTATTTTCCCACTCAGTTTAAGCGCCTCTAAAAACAGATTTCGCTGCAACAATTAATCTTCCTAAAAAAATATAAATTTACCCGCTTGCTTTATAACATTTATATTTCCGTTTCATCATTCTCGCCGAACGGCTATTAATCACATCGGTTTGTCTACCGAAAAGTAACTTTGACATCTTTTTAACTTCATTTTTCTTCGCGATTGTTTCTTCACTGGAAAATGTTCACCAACCGTTCTAAATCGATCGATATTGAATTAGCTCGATGTGCCAGCGAGAGAAGTCATCAAGGGTTTTATGAAATTTTCAAAAAAACTCAAAAGCATTCATCTACTATCGAAAGAATACCAGGAAGAAAAGTGAACAGTTTCACAAATAAACTTTTATCATAAATTCATGTCAAAAATTCACTATTATTTCTTAAGCACAAATGGGCACTTTTAACTATCAGAATGGAGACGGGTAGAAGCTTCAAAACAATTCATCACAATCCTTGGAAGGAAGGAGCAAATTGTAATAAACTTTAAGCAACTTATGCGGATATTGATGTCTCTCTGACCCAGCTCATCTTAATTAAATCCGCCCCTAATATTCAGCAAAAGCTAATATCCAGATTAAAAAAACAGCGATGCCATAAACCGAGATAATAGCCGGTTAATGTGGCCTTTTGCAGGGCATTACCAGCCAGTCTAGTAGGCCTTAAGCAGGAAGGCTGAGGGGATAATTGCACACATAAATTGATTAAGAGGCCGGCTTTCATCTTGAGAGTGCAGGCCTCGGCCGGTCTCAACCGAAATTGCCGATCACAACAATAATTTCCCGCTAATCTCGATTTAATTCGAGGAAACTGTTCCTTTATGTCGAACTGGTAGCCTTTATGTAGAGTCCGGTAACTGCTCGAGATTGCTTTTGATATTCGGGGCGTAGTCTGGAAGTTTGCCATTAAATAAGCCCTGGATATTATGACTCTGGACTTGCAAAGTGCAATTGGACAAATTTCGGTTTGCCTCAATTGAAACTTGGCCGATTGCAATTATTCGAACCGCAAACTACTCACATTAATTCCTAGTGTTAATCAACATATTTTTCACATTGAAATCATTTGAACCCTGAACAGATCACATTTAGCATACGGAAATATTTGCAAAGAACAACTAAGCTTCAAACCAACAACTTATTTGAAAGCATTCTAATAAATCCCACAGATGTTGAACATTTAAATGGATAAATTATTTTCATTTGACTTGGCACGCAGTGCTAATGTTAAACAGTAAAATTGTGTTCGAACAATTTCTATTATCTTTCGCCGTTGTCGCTCGTGAATTCTAATCCGTTGTGAAACTTTAAACTCCCAAGGAGATCTTGCAAGTGCTCTTTTCGTTTCAGTCTCTTCTGTGGCCCACTTAAACTTTCGACTCTTGTTGAAATGTAAGCGCACCGCTCAAAGTGGATAAACATGAGAAAACTTTTTCAAACGGACGTAATGGGAAGATGAAACGCAACGCTTTCGCTGCCATAATGAGCTCTTTCACTTCGAGCTTTTCTGTTTGATTCCACGTGCATTTACTAATAACGACAGCATTTTTATCTAGGTGTTTTTTCGAAAGCATCAGCAAGTCTCGCAAAATTAAAGAAGCCTGCCGAAAAACAGCAGCCAATAAAAAAGACGCAATTTCTTTAATAAATCATTCACGGCCAGGGCTGCGAAACTTAATAAAGAACTCCCGAAGTTATCCAAAAGCAAGTGCGGAGTTTCTTAATTTACAACGGCGCTTCGTCCTTTGATCTCTCGCTCAAATAACTCTTTTATGTTTGCGTTCATTTCGAAATCTGTTAGTTTCTTATTAAATGGCAATTTCGCCGAACTTTACTGCAGCATTCGCGCAAAAAAATCACAGCTTTGATCAACGCATCGGCAACTGGTTTAATGAACAATTTCGAGGAAACATATTAGATCGATTTGTAATTAAAGTTCTTTGGCAGTTTTTTGTATTCGTTTCTTTATTACATGGAGTATTTTCATCAAATGCTGATAAAATATTAGTTAGAAATTTTTTCCCATGAAACTAAAATAGGACAATAATGAGTGAATTGTAATTTTAATTAAAATAAAACGAATCAATAAAACTGGTTAACTAGCATTCAGTACCAAAGGAATTTGAGCAATTTTGTTCCAAAAGATAAAAAAGCGCCACTGGAGTGTAATACACGTACTTTATTACTGCAGCTTCAAATCCCCTTATTAAATGTGATAAATTCCAGGGAATTTTCTGTGAAAGCAAAGCAAAAATCTGCCAAATAGCTAACGATCGGTAGTAGACTCTCGGAACGACATTAATAATAATAGTTCCCGGATCTCGGGGTCCTGCCCCGACAATACGAAATGGATGAGGAAAGGAAACGAAGAGCTAAATTGTATATATTGGCCGTTTTCCTATGCGGTTAAGCTCCGGCATCTTTTATGCGACAATTCCTGGTGTCATCATTTTTCAAACGTTTTGGTAATGTGTGGCACTAAATCAATAGTTGCTTGACGATTTATGTCGCTCTATCTACAAAAATGATTTATCTATATTTGCATTTAGAGCATGTTTTGCCCAGGTTAAATTACCAGATATTTCAACTTTTTGTTTTTCTTAAATGAGTATTTTAATTTGGTGTTTGTTCTGAAATCTGCTTTTTTTTATTTTCCCAACTAGAACTTTTGCGAATAATACTACAATATCAAACCTCTAAGATTGGCTATGGTGCGTTTGTATGCCTCTCTAGAAAGTGGGAAGAATTTTTTATATAGAAAGAAATATTTTCTATAAGAAGTAGTAAGTAATTATGAAGAAATTTATCCAAACGACTATAGGTGACCTTAACCAAGAGATGATATTTGAGACGTCCTATTGGAATTAATTGTTTACAGAAGTTTAGAAAGCTAGCCAAAGAATCTTTTTTTTTGCTGATAATAACGTTTGTCACTAATATTGCTTGATGGATGTGTAGAAGATTTATTTTTATGTATAAAACACCATTTCGCTTTTTAGAAGAGCAGTCGACAAGAGAAAATTGTAATTATTGTGGTTGCAAAAGTGACGCTTAATTTGCAGAAAATAGACAATGAATCGGGAAAATAAATCACTTTCGTCAGTTTTGTTACTAATTTGCCGCAATTGTGCAGTTTTTGGCGTTAACTGTGAGCGTTAAACTGCATTATTTTCGTGAAGGTAAACTTGCAGTCTAATTATGAAGAAAATAGAAAAAATAAATGGGAACTCTGGAGAAAAAAATCTTTCAAAATACAAGATCTAAGCCGTTGTGAAAATACGAGCAAAATGAACATCTGCAGAAATCAGCAATGTTACAATTCAGGTATACGTCGGCGAATTGTAACAATTTGACGAAAAAATTACGTTAGTAACATCAAATTTTCGTGTGACTCGGTGGACAGACATACGAAAACAACAACAATTATTGCGTCACTGCAAAAACTTGGAACACTTAATGTTGGGTGAAAAAAATGGATCAATTTTCATAATAATTAAATTAATCTAGATTTTAACAAAAGTGTAAGCTTTCGTAGACAGTGTGGAAAACTGATGAGATTTACATTCCGTTAAAACCCAGAAAAACCTGAACAGTTTCAATCTAGATTATATTTTCATTCATTTTCTTAACCATACATCTTGGAATTCTTCCAATAAAATGAGAATATTAAAATAGAAGCCCAACACTGTAAAATAATTATAAAAACATACTTGAAACAGCGGCAACATATTCATTTTAGTACTTTTATTCCGAACTACAAAACATAAAAGTAAACATGTTTTTAGTGCTTTTTATTCCGAAAATGGACGCTTTTAAAGATTCAAGCCGGGTTTGTCCGATTCGCTCATCATATCAATTAATTGTGTAGCATTTGTTCCCAAATCCAAAGTTCTCGTTTTCATCAAAATGTATCCTGCTAATAATAATCAAGCATGTCAGCACAGACATTGGCCTTCGAGAATGTTTTCATATGCACTTTTTCGCTAGCGAATTTCGCTCAACAAATGAATCCATTGAATAGTGTCTGGGTATGATTATTTTAGAAACACAAATACACAGTCGACATGTTTTTGAACTAAAAGGTAATATTATTTTGCTTCCGTCTTCAACTCAGCGTCCTATCCATTTCCCACTCAAACACCCGAGAAAATATACAAGCAAGACATTTGAAGTGGTTAGAACCGAGAAAGAAAAATACAATTACGCCACAAGGGAGGAAAACATTGCGTGTAAAATGCGAGTAATCAAATATAGCTTTTCCCGTTCCAAAGGCTTTGGCCCTTTGACCTGGCAGGTTTTCATAATTTTCTTTCACCAGCGATTTCACCAAGATTCCAAAAGGAATCCATTCCAACGTAAATAACTCTGGAATAGGAATTGGACTCGTCGCAATTTCTATCAAAGATCGTTAAATCAATATTGACCCACAGATACAGTGGAATAAAATAAAATATTTACAGGAGGATGTCTGCAAGAGCTTTCTACCTTTCGTTTGTCTTTTACTTTTGCCATTGCCTTCGCGAAACCATAAGTGTATTTGAAGTGGATGGAGGCAAAGCGAAAGAATTGCAAAGATCGGTAAAACTTGTCAAGACACGCGAGTTCACGGTCGTAGGTAGCATTTGTGCCGGAATTGAATAAGAAAATCTACTTTTTATATGTAGAAGTTTATAAAATAATCACATTTTCTAAGTGGGTTTTCCCTACACATTTTGTTTTGACAATCTAATGCGGTTTTCATAAGGTATTTACCCCCGTGGGTTGCCTTCTTATTTGGACAACACAACTGGAAGCCATTAATTTCGCATTACATTCAATTTCCTTACTGAATGGGAACGCTCTTTGTAATTTTTTCCCCTTTTGATCGCCAACAAACGAATATTAATGGTTCAGTTTAAGTTAAAAGGGTTGTTGTTTTGACCGATGTTTGACGAATATTTATTTTACTCTATGTGAAAATGCACCTAATTTGAAGTGGTTTCATTTTCAGTTCCGCCGGAGAAAATCCATATTTTCGACGACAAACGGATAGATAAATCGGTACTTTTAGGGCCGTACAATGAGGGTTCTGATGTCAGCCTTCTATGCGAAGTCCGTGGAGGTAAGAGCGCATTTACTTGCCAAACACATTAATATTTAGCGATAATTTCGACGTGAAGTTATTTGCAAATTATGCAAATGTTCCTTCAAAGCCTGGTTTTTTTAAATTCTCTGATTGCTCAACCGTGTCCGTTTTTTCATTGACAATAAATTCCGTCTCGATATAAAAGTGCAAATACACGTCGTTAGACCTTTTCGTCGGCGATGTTTTATTCAGCGAATTTCTCAAGCTGAAGTGCTCTGATTTAAAATAAATATTTCAGCGAATATTATCTTTCGTCGATGATTGCCAAATAATTTTCCAGTACGCTGAAAAATGGGAGGAAAAGATGAATTATGAAATAAGTGCAAAAACACGGAACATGAATATAAAGTAGCCCTTTTCTCCGGTTTTCGAGCACTTCTATTGGCTTTCGTACATCAATAAATAAACTGTTAAGCTTGGTCATTATGAACTTCGGTTTTTTAAATCATCTAAAATAATATTCAGTGTCTTCACTAAGCCCACTGCTCAATTTCCTAGTGAATAAGGAATGAATGGTATTATTTATAACAATACGGCGACCTTTTAAATCACCTTTTATGTGCGAAATACCGGGCCAACGAATATCCTACATTTTATTTTATAGTCGGGTAATTTACTTAATGGCCCTTTTTAATCTCTCCCGGTCAGCTTTCAGGTATATTAATAAATATGCCCATATTTTATCCATTAATCTTGCTCCCTATTTAGTATGTATTAATTTGTGCCGCATTGAATTTCTCAGTCGTAATAAGCAGTAGGTGAACTCAATTTAATAAACATATTTCAAAATTGAATTTAATGAAATGTGCATCATATATTTGCAAATTATGACAAAACCAAGTTTTCAGCAGAAGTTTACGAAATTAAATTATTGTTTTTAAAGTCGCGATAATCTATTTTTTTTGTTTTTTGAGATAAATCAAAGGATTGTTTTGAGCAGTGAAAGCATTTGGACACGTAATCGCTTCAAATCTTTTCAGGTCGGCCCCGACCTCGTGTCATCTGGTTTCTGGAAAATAATGTAATCGACGAGACGTTTGCGAACCGTTCTGAAGAAGTGGTCATCAATCACATGGTATTCCCCAACGTGGGTCGCCAACATTTGCATGCAAGACTGATCTGCCAAGCATCCAACAACAACATCGTGCCGCCGGAGACGAAGGCCGTGGTTCTGGACATTAATTGTAAGTAATTTAGGACCAGTTTATTACTGTCTCGAACAAGCCCTCCCTCTAGAGATTAACACGTTTCGGTTATTTGGTTTTCTACGGTGGACCTCCGTCCCTTCAACTGATTTATTACGAGTTTGATATTCCAAGGTGGGCCGATTCGAAAATTAATTCCTGCATCGGTATGGAAGGTGTCAGTAAACAAGTTAATTCAATTAGATTTTTTCGTACAAAACCAGCAACTTCACCAGCATTCAACATTTGTCTAGGTCTTTATCCGAAAGAATATTCTCTCAATCCTCATACATAAAGCATTTTATTTTCAACTCATACTTTTGCAGGCTTTTATATACTGCCGCACTTTAAAACTAATGAAACAACATAAATTCGAAGCTCCAAGGGAGATTACAAATATTCACTACGAAAACACACGCAACAACTTCAGTTGCATTAAAATTGCATTTAGCGAATTGTTTTCAACGGTAAAATAATATGAAATTAAACCCGTTAGCTTTCAAATGCTAAATCAAACGTTCGAAAGGCAAATATTTAAAAACACATATGTTGATGTATTGGGTTTGAGCAGACAACAAAATAGCGAAAACAATCCATCATCTTTGGCGTTCTTTAAAAAGTGCCTTTATTCACCACAAACTTTCAGACCTTTGGTACACCATTTTTTATTGAATAATTAACCCTTTGAAACACCTACAGTATATTTTGGGCTTAAACTGATCGACATTTCAGAGCGGTTTCGCTGCCGACTAATTTAAAGGAAATAGGACTTCATTTGGACCTCCAAAGGGTTGTCTTACATTAAATCATCCCTCTTGGCTCGTCCCTTGCGCAAAGAGCATTTCCCTGTACCTCATCATTCTTCCGATAGAAAAGTGTTATTTTCGATGTTTTCTAACACTTATATGTAAACTGAATATCAAATACTTCTGCATAATAAAGCCAATATAATTTTTTGGATCAGTTCAACATAAACCAACCCCCTCATTGGCTAATGCCTTTACGTATTTTCGCTCTAAGAGATTTACAGTCTAATAGAATCACACGTTATTTGTAATCTGACTTTCGGATTACGGTTATTAAGGCTATTATTTTGCGACGGGTCTCTTTAGGTCCAAATAGATTGTTCATTAAGATAACGAATGGTGCCCGGATAAAAGAATGGCTTCGGAATAATCGACTATAAATCCCGACCCCACTTTGGTTAAGGAGCATTTAATAAGATGCCGCAGTTTTTCAGGAGACTATTGAAATTTTAGGGCCCGTTAAATAGACGTAAATAACGTCGAAGGAGACACGTTTCCCAATAAGATGGCGATAATAAAAAAATGGCACATATCTTTAGCTATAACAATGAATTTCTATTAGGCGAATACCTGGCTAGTCGCACAACATAATTATAGAAATTGATTGATAATTCAAGATCTCATCGTAATATTTCCATATTTATCACCTAATTTCTCATTTGCAAGTTAGCACCTTAATAGACCTTCTATCTAATCTGCGAGTTCATCAGCACTTGATAATAACTATTTCGGATTGTAAGCTAATGGAGTATTGATTACTCAGCTACAATAGCAACAAGGCTACGTATACATTCGCTTCAAAGGATTCTCGACATGTGTAAAGCGGCTCGGGTTCTATAGTCGTTAGGCTGGAAAATTGGGACTTTTGAACAGTGCCAGTGGGAAATTAGTGACAGCATTGCAAGCATAATGATCATTTCATTGGTCTGCACTATTCAATGACTTGAGGTAAGGGATGGAAAACTGGGAAGAATCGTCAAAAGCAAAACCTGCTAGTAAAATAAGTATCGAAGGAGCCTATATTTATGAGCGGCTGTAACCTGAAAGCCACACAGTTTTTCTTATTTATATAATTGTTTGTAAAATTGACGATATTTCTTTTAAGGAGTTTTAGAAGCTTAATTGGGGAATTGCAATTCGAATTTATTGCCTCAACATATTCACTATTTAGGGTATATAATTGTTTGTATATTTTTATAATTGTTGGTTTGGTTTATATTCTTTCCATGTTTCAACACCAGTAACTAAATCTGTTAAAATAATGGCTGAGTGTTTCCATTTTTTATCCAATGACCCCGTTCCTAAAATTTTGTTTGTTCCTTGAAGCCATCGATTAGCTATGACCTCAAGCGTGAAATGCCACCTTCTACCTTGTCCGACTATTCAGTGCTAGCTTTTGGTATAGTTTCCGATTTTTTAAAAGGAGATTATCAAAATTGACGATATTTATTCTAAGGAGTTTTAGATGCTTAATTGGAGAATTTGCAATTCGAATTTATTGCCTCAATATATTCACTATTTAGGGTACAGTTTGATCTGAGCTTTTAACCGGAGCATTACGTGAAAGAAACTGCGAATTTTGCACTCGAAAAAATTACGTTTTTCTGGAATTTATTCCTTCCACCAACCCAGAACACAGTGACCGAAAATAGCAAAAATTAAGGTTCCGTGGATATTTTCATTGGGGTGGTGCATTTAGAGCTACTAAATTTGCTGCTCTCAAACTTTCCATTAGCACAAAAATATTCATATTGTGTCCATAACTATCTGTTTAATTGGGCGTTGGTTGGTTTCAAGAGATTTTCCTCGCTTTGGCTTAATAGAAAAATCCAGTTTTGTCGTCATGAAAATATTATTTTGCAATTGAAGCAATCATTCTCATCGTAGCATTTACTACAAAATATTATTCAGCTAATATCTGCATGTTTCTGGCTAATTAGCGCATATATTTTCGGTCTGATAATAAAAAACACTTTTAATTCAACGGAACCTAATTAAACAGCTGAAACCCCTATAAAATTGAATTCAAGCAAAGCCAGCAAGAGTTTCGGCAGAACGCTATCATTAGCATCAGCCCAAACAAACGAAAATACTCAGCAATTTTCAGCGTTTTTTTCTAGCCCGATAGAGCAAACATTACAAATTAACTTTTTTACGAACCGTCTGGAGTCTAGTCTAGAAGAATTTGATTTTCAATCTTCTAATCAAATAGCAAATTAATCCTGAAAATGTTCTAGCTTAAAGAGTTTTTGCTTGCAACCCACTTTCATCAATTATTATTATTATTATTATATGGGTCAATGAAGTTCAATTCTGCATGTGCCTCTGTGTGCTTCATTCCGTGAGTTAACATGAAACCCACATGTAAAATAGGCTTGTTATTCAATTCCGAACTGTTCCCGTAGATCAGACAGTACGTTTTGCTGCTTGAAAGGCACTGGCAAAACACAAATGTTTATATAGGTTCAGATCCAGCAATCAGCAAAGGATTCAGCATTCGTCAGACGTTTTAATTAAAGCTGGATGATCAAAGATCCGCAAGTTGTACCTTTTTAATTCGGTTCATTGTGATGCATTATTCCGTTTGCTCATAGTTTTTTTATGGATTTAAATTGCTTGAGGTTAGAAGACCTAAAACTGCTCTCCACTGTGAGAATTTTGCATTGCAATTACACACGAAGGTTAATTTTCCTATTTGCTTTTTATGGGTCTTTAACTGAGTCTAGGATGGTGTTGATTTTTAAGGATGATTGAATACACTGGCTAACAGTAAAAGTGAATATAGAACCACAATAATTTTCTGCCATGTAATTCACTTTAAAAATTCGCGTGACTGCAATTACCTGGACTTTGAACATTTTACAACAGGAAGTACTTTTAAATTGAAAAATGACGCCGGACGTAAATGATGGAGCATTTGCCAGAGACTCTAAATCAAATGGCCTAAATGGGTTTCAGAACTGAAAACAGCATTGAAAAAAGTTTCTTCCAGAATATCAATGCAAAAATTCTGGTCTTTAGCTTTTCCAGTGCAAATTTAGTCACAATCAGGAATTAAATTTTTAAGCCCTAAAGTTGTCAATATTTGATTATATTTTGATTCAAATGATTTTCATTTTCACAACGTAATATAGTACAAGTCACGCTTCATCGACAAACCGAGTTAACAATCGAAATTTGGTATATCGAAATTGGAAATGTTTATTTTCGCTGCCACTGAATAAAAAACATTGAAAACAGTTTGAAACTCGTTTACTCACCATGCAAATGAATCGTTTTAATTACATTTTTCAATGCTCAAACATCTTTGATCTTCATTGCAGGACAGAAATTATGTCCCCTTGTATGGTGTTCCTTTATTGGAATATAAATGGGAGTTTTTGTTGTGGATGTTTGTTTATTTTCATCTGGCCCTTTTAGTAACATTTTGAAATATTAATTAGGAGACGGGAATTGTTTGTGCTCTTGTGGAGCTATTTTCAAAGAACATTTAATGGGAATACATGTGGCTACAAGCAAAACCGGTACTTTTTATTGATTGGTTTATTTTTAGTAGCAAAAGTTTTTGCAGTAGGTACCTACGGAAATGTGGACTAATGGAAAAACTTAAGAAGCAAAATTCCTAGCTTGTTATTGTTGGCATACAGAACGGCTATAAAATCGCATAGCAGAAATGAAAAATTCTAAACTTTTTTGAGACATAGGAACTGTAGGCGGCACGTTGGCGTTGGAATTGCAGAAAAATTCGCAAGCAGTAAGAAAGATGTCCTCAATCAGTTACTTGAATCTGTGTCAATAGTACAGCAGCACTATACATTTACAATTTTCATTACAAGCCTAAAAGGTTTCGTATTTTTGAGGCTCGTCGCTCACGTTCTAATTATACCAGTGAGTAATTCTTCTGGTCTTGACTGGATGTTCTGATTTCTTTCGTAAAGCTATTCACACTGACGTTCTCTGATTTCGGTTCAGAGTTGCAAGCTTCCAATTGTTCATTTTACCACCGTTTTCTCCCTAGCTTTGGACTCTTAGCGAAAAAGCTTTTGAATATTCAAATAGAAAAATTGCATCCAACCAACGGCAGATGAAGAGGTTTTGAATTACGAACCCTTGCATACAATCCATGGCCATAAAATATCTTTTATAAACAATGCTATGGGTCTGTTAAAGGGCAATTGAGCACACCAGTGGCCCCTATCTATAAAACCTTTTTTCAATTACAGTGAAGCCTCAAAGTGTGAGCATCCTAACCAAGGAAAAACACGTCTCAGCAGAGAAGCGATACGAAGTGGAGTGCCGGACTTCTGGATCCAGGCCGGATGCCGTTATTACTTGGTGGAAAGGAAGCAGGCCCGTCAAACGACTGGCAAAAAACGTAAGTAGATTTGTTTTGTGCCTCCTTTATTGTCTTGCCCGGGAGATTTATTAATGAGTCCGAAACCGAGTGAGGTTTTGGGGGTTTTATGGCGTGGAATAATGCCTTTCGGGTCCTTCTGGAAAAACGTTACGGTATTTGTTAACGTCATTTCGACCCTAATGGATTTCCACCCTTAAACTCGAATGGAAACTGATGGGTTTCCCATTAAGCTATCCGAATCGTCGCTTTAATCAACCGAAATCGCCTATGGAAATAGCAACCATAAAGAAACCAATTGTCGCAAATATTCATTGGTCATCCGCGGATTATTTCGCACCGATGACAAAAAATTCTGATCGAATTTCATAACAGTTTCGAACTAATGTAATATATTTTACATTATACATTAATTCGAAACAATGGCAAGCATTCATTTGGCTTAAATTGAATTTTGCTGGTTGATTGAAAATTTTATGTCCGCGGCATATAGAATTGATAATAATCCATAATTTGTTGCTTTAATAATAAACTCAGACGCAGAAATATAGAATATTACTTAACTTACGACTAAGTGTAAATTGACTATGTGAGTGTGTTTAATTGAATGTGAGCTGCAAAGCGGCTTTTTGATTACATAAACTGCAAATAATGAATTTAATGTTTTTTACATAAACTGTATAAACTGCTGTTATTCAATGTTAGTTACATTAAATAGTCTAGTTTAAACATCAAATGCACAATTGAATTTGCTTATTTAATATTTAATTAATATTGTGCAGGTTTTAATAAATTACTTGCCAATATTTCAATCGAATACAATCGGCGTGTATTGGATACCGATTATTTATGAAGCCATAAATTCAAATCTAAAATATTTTATTACTAAACAGTTTAAATTGGCTTCTACCGACGACTTCACCCCGACATGGGCGTGTAGTTAAAAAAATCAGTTTATAAAGTATTAAACTCTTAGTGGATAGCTATTTATTTTTTAGGACCGATAGTTCACGAATGTTTGCTTGTTTTCAAATCCACAAGTAGCGAATAATTTGGCCATCGAAAATCTTCCACCGAAAGTTAATTAATTAAGTAGGTACAAAGTACATGCCTAATTTCGGTTCAATTATTGTCTGGAAATGATCTGCGAAGTCGTAGCTTGACGCTGTACAGAATTAGAAGTCGTAGTTTAACGTTGAACAGATTTGAGCCCTATTGCCAAACCATATTTTCAGCTAATTGGAAAATTAGTATTCCTTGTTTATTTAATTTTTTTATTTAAATTATGTTACCGAAACAGCGTCCAATGAAATGAGTTTTATAAAAGCTCCTTTGCAAAACCTCAGAAAAGAAAAGATTTAAGACTTTGCAAGTCAGCTTTGTTTCACTTTTCCTTTTTTGGCTTGCAAACATCTTGCTGATATTCAAGACACTAATTCGGGGAGTGTTTTTCATAGTCTGATCTACTTAAAGGTCCAAAAATTCGACAAGTCGACCACAAAATAGATGAATATTTCTCAGTGAGAACAAGGAAGTAAATTGAACAAAAGAAGCATTTTCAAATAATAATAAACCAAAAAAATCATTAAATTTGCCGGAGGTGGTGACTAGGGGATACAAGATAATACCAGAAAGAAGGCTAATTACATTAAAGCGTCGTAAAGAAATCGTCCCTCATTTTTCTTTACTTTCCAGCAGTTCTCTGCTTTTGGGACTCAACTTGTTCGGAGCATCATTAACAACCTCCTTAACTTCCTGATTCTTCTTCGCAGAAATAATAATGAATTTCGGAGGAGACAAACTTCAATTGTGTTATTGTGGGAGATTCTTTTGTATCGACAACAGAAAGTTTGAAAACTCGCTGCAAAGCTTTGAAAGTTTTTAATAAAATTTTGTAAAAATGCGCCAGAGTCCCGAGGAAAAAAGTAAATGCATTAGCTCAAATGCGCATTTCGGTTAAAGACGCTAGTTATTTATTTAATAAATCGCCTTATAGTGCTCCCGCTCCGGAACCAGCTGACAAAACTAAAGTTAAAACATTATTTTGAGGCTCATTAAACTCCGACTTTTCCATTGTGCGAACATCCGACAGCATCCAGCGGAATCCGTTTTAACTTAAGGTTCTTAACTGGAGGCTTCTTTTATTCCGAATTGAATGGGCTGCAGGGTAACAAAAGAAGGCACTGGAGAGTGATTAGGGCGATTTCTATACAAATTTGTGCCAGAGAAATGGTCGACGTTATTTACAAACAAACATTACGATCCAAGTGACAGTTTGATACATTAGGCAATGTTTTTGTCCACTGTAATAAAGCATGCAAACATTAATTAGTTTGGTACAAGAATGGACTAAAGTGTTAACTTAGTTAATGGCAAAACTACACGGTTTCGAAACGCAGTTTCTATTTTTATTAGAAACTCGAGGCAGCAATTGGTTTCGTACGTACTTATCGGTTAGGCAACGTACTGAACAAGACAGTTTCAATGTGTTGTTATGAGTGGTAAAGTAGGAAACAAAATTGAACGCGAAATAGTCGGCAGATGCAAAGCAGGCACAGCACACGGCAAAAAAATATTAAACTGAAATGGAAACCGGAAAATGAGTATTGAATTAAGTAAATAAGCAAGCAATGTTTGGACATTCAATCAAGCATAGCTTAAAGAAGATGCAGAGCTAGACATGGCCCAATCTTCTGAAAACTCCAAGACAACCAGGAAGAATTAGTTGGTAAATATCTGCGCTCTCTGAAGAATGGAAGAGCTAGCAAAGCAGAAGATGTGAACGATATAGTTGCATTAAATATGGAACAGAATAAACCGTTGGCGATGTGGACGAGTAACAATAAGTGTTCTTCAAAAAGAGTTGTTTAGCCTGAAAACTTCTTTACTTTTGCAAAAACTCATGCTATTAATCTGAAACCAGTTCACGTCTTCCGATTATCAGTTCAGCCAATCCGAACTCTATCCCATAAAGGTATAGAAAGCACGAAGCCACTTCTGTAAAGAAATAACATAAATATCGAGTTTATTTTCAATTGCCCAGCACCGCGTTTAAGAGGGTGTATATACGCAGACTTTTGTGCTACTCAACTCCACTAAAATACCCATCTGGCCATTACCGTGCCCGAGCCATTGTCGAGTTACTTCTCAAGTGTTTAGTAATTTACATAGGAATCTTGTTATAACTCGAAGATGGCAACAGGAGAATTTCATACACTCGACATTTCATTTAAGCAGGCGAATTTATATTGCATATTATTCCAGCCGACCCAATTATGTTATTATAACTTTTATCGTTACGTGTTTTGTGCTAATTTTTGCAGAAGAAAATTGTTTCCTTTTGGAAAAGTTGGAAAATTTTTAAAGTTTCTATGGTAAAGCAAGACCCAAACAAAGACTTGCCTGATCCTGCAAATGGCGTTTTGCAAGTCTTGCTTTTAAATATGGCGTAAAAATTAATTCAAAAATAATCGTATCAGGTAACAGATAATAATAACCAATACACAACCTAATACAATTAAAATATAAGGTGTTCGAAAATGAAACAATTTTAATTATATCGTTTTTCAAAATTATTAACGCGAACTTTTTCATTGTCTTAAGCTACAACAGCCATTCCCTCCCCAACTGGAATTTAATTCCTTGCAGTATGGTTTACTTTTTCTAACAAAAGTACAACAAACTCGATTTAAGGTATAAATGTTTTTACATTTTGATTGGGCTTATAAAATTTTAACTGGCAGCACATTTGACAAATATGAGGACAAACTCAATAATTAATAATAAACTGATAATGCTTTGCAAGGATTGAGAAATTTTACTATTTACACTTCATATTATTTCAGGAAACTGATGAAACTTATTTCACTGGAAAAAAAATTCAAAGTGTAAACTGTTCAGTATTTAAAAAAGTACTATTTAAAAAAATCAGCATAAAAAAATATTTTTAAGTTACACTAATATTTCAAGGTAAAAGTTAATAGACATTAGGGTCCTACAGTGTTCTGTTTATGTCCCATTTGCTCAAAGCTTGGGTCCCAATTTTTATTTTCGGTGAGTTTTGTCATTTAAAGTGAATCGTTGATATTTTAAGCATTTGAAACGGTTCAATTTTACATTACATCTAAGGGCTACTATGCAAGATTTAATGCGGTTTCATATCGAAGTACCTTTTGCAAGACTCTTTCAAAAATCTTGGTCTAGCAGTAAATGGTTTAATTCTTATTCTTGCTTGATCTTGGTCTTGTTTTTTTTTTGCGAGACCAGACCTTTTGTACACCAATTGAAGACTAAAACGACCAAAACACAGCTCTAAATACTTAGCTACAATTGTTCCTGTTGAAAAACAAGTTTGTGTTTTTAAATTTAAATCTGCTTACGTTTAACTCTGCTGAAAGTTCAATACACCCTCGCCGCAAATTTGCCTTCTACCTTATTCCCTGACAAAAATAAATGAATAGAAACGTGGCTAAGCAACAACACTCTATAAACTCAGTATGACAATTTCAATTAAAACTTCTTCTACTTTGTACCTTTAGCTTTGGGCCAATTGCGCGGCTGTATTGATTCGCCCAAGGTGTCAACTATAACTCGTCGAGATGAAGATAAATATAAGGAATCGTAGCGTTTTCTCGCCATTTCTTTCCGTATTTTTAGGTGGCAGTTTTTCTTGATAAAAACCATCTTGGCTCTCGTTTTTCTTTGGTGTGTTTCGCTATAAATTTCTGGGTGCATACTTAAGCAGTGAAATAATACGTTCACTCCTTCAGAATTTGGCGCCTGAATATGACACGTGACGAATTTCCCCTTTTTATTCCATGTTCCAACTTGGAAAAATCCTAATTTGCATTTGAAAAAAACTTCTGGCTAATACCCAAATCAATAGCGGATCCTTGAAACTTTACATCCCACATTAGTGGAACTTTCTTCTCGCAGAACTGTTCCAACTTTATACAGACTAGACAGCAACCGGGATCAGTTTCCCTTTGAAACTTTTAGCGAAATATCATTTGAGTTTTATATGGATTATTCGCAATGGTCTAGCGCTGGAGTTATCCGTCATAAAGGAAGGGAAATAAAAATTTCCAACAGAATAACACCACACGAGTTTTATGCGCCTGTAAACCGACACAACTGTAATAACATTGCGTTTTATGGAAGTTATTTAAACTTTATTCATTACAATAAAAGTTGGCAAAGTCCGATTTTTACCACTGAATTGGGACATTGGGTCTGATGGAATATGTACATTTACAAATCGTTGTTTTCCGCATTTCAGTTTGCTGAACAGAACAACCAAAGCTTGAGCATTTTAAACTTTGTGCCTGTCATCGATGATGATGGAAAATATTTAACGTGTCGAGCAGAGAATCCCACCATACCAGACAGCGCTTTGGAGGACAAATGGAGACTAAATGTTCATTGTAAGTAGTACCAGTTTTAGTGAATATTCGCTTGTAAAATTGTGCTGATCAAAAGTACTTTTATTGAACTTTTTGCTTCGACAAACATTGCAATCTGTTGATTTTAGCCATTTTATTCGACTCTACAAAACTTTACTTTACCACGATAACCATAACGCTGCTTTAGGGTGGAAAATGAGATTTCAAGCTTCCAGAGAGTGAATTTCATGACATTGAAAGTTCCCTGAAAACTTATAATTGGTTGTAATAGGTATGGGTAACGAGCTTCTCCTGATGGAATTGGGTAATTCTATTAAGGAGTTTTAGAACGCAAATTTCAACTTTCCCGTTGTTTAGAGTACAAATAAATGCTTTTGAATTTTGATGATAAATGCATCGTGAAAAATATCACGTCATGATATAGCGTGCGACTGATGAAGAATAGGCGAAAGACACACGATCCATTAAGCCGGACAATTTATCAAATGTCGCTTTTTCAACAACGGAACTTCTCCTTTCCTTTATAAAAATGAAATTATTGCAAATCTCTCTTTTTACAGGATAAGTTGAGGATCTTTTTATACAATGAAAACATTATTTTTCAGATGTTCCCGTCGTAACATTAAAAATGGGATCGACCCTCAACCCCGAAGACATCAAAGAGGGCGACGATGTTTACTTTGAATGCAACATTAGAGCCAATCCCAAGGCGTACAAACTTTCCTGGTTCCACAATGTAAGTATTTAGGCTGTTCAAATTTAAATATTATTCTGAAAACTTTAGAGTTTCGTCCCATCTTGTTTTCGTGCTTCTCCGGCTTTTTGAATAAAATTAAATTTGGTTTCGTATAATAAATGTCGGCATAATTCCGAAATTGTCTGCTTTTCTTCTTTGGAAATTTAATAAAGTACAAGGGGCGACGTAATCGCTCTTTATGGGATCATTTGGAAATTTACTTTTCCCTCCCACACTCGAAGGCTATAGCTTCCAAGATGTTTGCATAAGTTCAGGTGCCATAAGGATACATCAATTAATCAAATGTATCCTAGTTTGTTCAAAAATTGTCATTCCAGAAACCCTCATTGGACTTGTATGTGTTTTCTGTGTAGAACGTGGAAATATATCAAAACATGACTGCTGGTGTGATTCTGAGCGACCAAAGTTTGGTGCTTCAAAACGTTGTGCGAGCCACTGGTGGTGAATATACGTGCATTGCAACCAATACTGAAGGAAAAGGCTCAAGTAATCCAGTGAATCTCTCAGTAAAATGTAAGTAAAGTTTTTTACTTTTTAGGGCGACGCTGAATAAAATTATGTACTTCTTCAGCATCTTGAGCTTAAAACTTCCAAACTCAACGACAATCAGATCAAAGTTTGCCTTATTTCCACAGAGAATTTAAAACACATTTGATGGATAAATCGATTGACCCACTAGAACCTAGACAAAAATAATAAAAAATACATACACAAATTCATCACAAGTTTCAATAACTTTTGATTAGTACATTTTATAAAGTGTATGTATTTACAGAGAAAATTCTACTGTGCAATTATCGCTGTGTGGTGAATAGGGTGAACTTCTGCATGAGGGAAATATTCGCTCCTAATTGAGCTCGACTTCATCTGTGGGTAATATGTAATTTTCATATTGCTGTTTAATGAGGTAACTTTCCGGGATAGAAATAGAAGAGCGCCTTGCTCGGTTAAATAGCTTTAGCTCAGCTTTGGCTTATTTGTGAGCACTTTTTCTGTCATTGTTCATATTTATTATTCCGCAAAGTTTGCCCGGTTGAATTTATTTAAAATGGATATTGCTATTTAATACCTAAACGTTTCACTTCACTATGCCATGGATAGCGGAATATCCTCATGGCATTCGACTTTGTTTCTAGAAAATCCGCATTCCAAAAATCCGATTTGCCGAGAATATTTAAACGGCATTCAGGTAGTGAATACTTTATCTGTCCCAACTGTATGCAAGAGGAATTAAAATTTGAAATAAGCGAAATCTACATAATCCCTAAAAACAAACCGACACGGCCGAACGTTTGGCTCACATTTCGCATCAATTTCAAACACCGATTTTATGCGCTTTTTTACTATGTGCAATCGGTTTCAGGCCATTTTGCAAGCTTCATTTCTAATATAAGAATATTCATGTTTGAGACCATCGGTGTCCGTTGAGGCGGAGTTTCGATTGAAAATTCGTCGGCTTTTATGCAATGAAAAAAAACGAGTAAATATTACTTTTGGTATGGATTTGTCAGGTCTCTAAACGGCAAATTTGACTCCGGCCTGTGTGAATGAATTATTTTGTTGCTGATACTCTAAAACAAAGGTGCTTTACTGCGTGTTTTAAACATCGTTGTGCCACTCTTTACGTAACTGCTATTATTTTATTATTAGATTTATGTTCTTGTCTGTTTCAACAAATTGTTTTGCCGCACAAATGTTACATGAGTTCAAACTTTCATAATTGCTTTAACAACTGTCCGGACAATTCGTTTTGCACCACACGGTTTCAAATGAATGTTGCTCGATTTTCTCCGCTCGCCTTCATCAAATAGCACTTTATTAAATGCATGATAAAAGTGGGGAATTGCGCAACATCGAGTAAAATTCCAAAAATCCAGCAAATATCTCGCAGATTTATGCATCGAAGCGATATCTCACATTGCGGACGTTCCTGGTACGTTCTTCACATTCCTGCAAATAACTCGCAACTTGTTTCAAATTTTTCCAGATTTAACCCTAATGCTTTCGCAAATAGTTGACAATTATTGTGCTCTTGCCCGAGCTATCTGGCCGCTTGATTGTGTATGGCTAAAGGCTGCGTTTTGAAATCCCGAGGCAGCAGCTGTTTGCTTTCCCTTATCGAAGGGCAATTTCTCCACTCAGAACTTATTATATCATGCAATAAATTCGGAACTGTAATTGGACGGATGGGCTTTAATGCTCGCAAAACCCCGATTATTTCCAGTTTTTTGTTAACGAAATTTAATCTTACATTTCCGTGTTGAATAAAATCCCCATCAACCGTGATGGTTATTCATACTGGATGCCAATGGAAATGGGTGAAAAATTTCGCTCATAGCTTAAATATTCTCTGACGTTTGACTGTGAACATTTTCTCAGTAGGTGATCCGGTTTAAACGTTTTTTATCGAATCATGATTCTAGTTTGGACAGAATCTAAGTTATGATTTAACCAAAAAATCAATCAAAGTTGAAATTTTCTTCGGGCGTTATAGTCATGTCTTTGGAGTAATTGTTGACTTGAATCTTGAGTCGTCTGTCTATTCTGAGCCATTCGAGAGATAATCATTTTTCCCGCAAATTCGAACTGGCAAATGGCTACAATTATTGCCTTTTTGAGAAAAATCCTCATTTGTTAAGTGTGTAAAATCGTATTAGATTCATGTCGTTCATTCATTTTCCAGAATTTTTCAAATTTTCCGTTGCTTGGAAAGGGGCCTTAAACGTGCACATCAACGTGCATAAAAATGCATAACTTTCAAATCTGATGAGATTAACGGCAGCTACTTAGGCAGTTTTGATAAAAAATATTCGCTTGTTAAGTGTAAAAAATTGTATTAAGTTGATGGTATCCAGTTATTTTCCAGAATTTTTAAACTTTGTGTTGCTTGAAAATGTGCCTCAAAAGTGCACGTAGGTGCAAAAAATCATAACTCGAAAATTTGATTGGATTAAGAGTTGCAATTATTTTATGCAGAAAATTATATTAAATTGATGGTATCCAATCATTTTTCAGAATTTTTCAAACTTTTAGTTACTTGTAAATGTGCCTGAAACGATAACGCCTGGGAATAAGATTTCATAACTCGCAAATCTGATTCAATTAAAACATGCTACTTTGGCAATTTTGAGAATAATCTTCATTTTTTCAGTACAAAAAATTGTATTAGATTGATGGTATACATTCATTTTCACAAATTTTCCAAACTTTCTGTTTGCCTCAAACGTGGCAACGGAAAGGTGCTTCAAACGTGCACGTCTTTGCATACAAATTCATAAATCGCAAATGCAATTAGATTAAAACATGATATTTTGGCAATTTTGAGAAAATTTCTGACTATTTCATTCTCACTTGTTAATTYTGTTGAAGTTARTTAATTTTTTTTAATGTATTGTCTCATTTTTTATATTTTGAGTCGATAACGTTGCCTCATTTAGGATGTTTTGAGTCGAGTTTTTCCTTTTCAATTTTTACTTTGGGTCTCTTCTCGTGGCACGCTTTCCTTATTACATTGAAGGCTTTGAACGCTTTTTGTGTAATCTTGAAGTTTTATTTAACAAGATACACCGCGGCTCAAATTCTCATGGTTTATGKCTTAAATATTTCCTAACTTTTAGTTGTGAATATTTTCTGTTTAGTTGTGAATATTTTCTGTTTCGGYGATCCGATTAGAATATTTTTTCTATTGAGTCACAGCTCGATTSGCGTAAAAAAGTTACAARATAAGCAAAAAATGAAATTAACATGTGCTGAGTGTTTAAATGCTCAAGTTTTYTTGGCTAAAGTGTAAATCCATCTGGGAGCAAYATGGGATAACCTCGAAAGCGATAAAAGTATATGAAGATTTATCCTCATTCTRAGCCGGTCGAAAGACACAATTTTTTTTATGGCCGCTCACATTTTCCACCCAAATTTACTAGATTTTTTTTATAATTCACGAACAAACATCCGCTAAAAAAAAATGTGGTCGCTTTTCAATTTCACAGTCAAAATTTGGAAAGATTTCTGTTATTCTTAAATTTTTCGGCGCTGTGTAAAAACTAGGAAAATGTTAATACCATCATCTCAAAAGCTGAATGGCAAAGTGTTGAAGATGAATCCAGCTTTCAGCACGCAACATCCATTAGTTGCGCCCTGAAGCATTAAAAGTGGCTGATGTGTGCGAGTTACAGCCAATAAAAACCCGTTTTATTTTATGTTCCTGGTCATGCTCGACTAAACGGGAGAACTGCAAAGCAGAATTCATAAAAAAAGCCAACCGAAAATTTAATTTGGGAACAAGGCCGGTCCCTTGAGTTGCATATACACGATCGCTAGAGCAATTTGGTAATTTTCTCCTGTCTCTAGATGGGCTCAGCTAGCGGAACTGTACGAGCATTTTGGGTTGATTTGTTTTTTAATTATTCGAACAGATGTTCCAGGGTTGGTTTAGCATTTTCCTCAATTCGTTGACATCACTCATGTGATGGATGAAAATTATTATAGCCTTTGTTTTTCTACAACCACCCCAGAACGTTTCCAACTAGCGAAATGATAATTATTCGAAAAATTCACTTATTAGCGGAACGTCTTAGAAGTGGAAATATCGGAACTTGAATTGTCTTCTTGAATCCTCAACATCCGCCAGCGAAAAACAAACCGCTATAGAACTTCTTCAGTGGCTTTGAATTTTCTTAACAAACTTCCAGCTTGATGATCAAAGAAAAGTTTGCCTAAGTTTAACAATATTGAACGTTCACCGGTTCGTTATAATGGCGACCACTGAGCGTTTTTCAAATATGATTTTCGAATGAAAATACGCATTCTTAGTGAATAAAGTGGGCTCAAAGGAAGCATTCGTAATGTAGCCCAGTCGTACATCCGCGCCTTAGCTTTCATCTTGTTAAGGAAAGCTGAAAAGGGATGAGACGAAACATTAGGCGGGTTGTAAACTTTCTCTCAAATAAGCAAATACGCTAACCCAATTTCAAGAATGGAATTTTGCACTTTGCCAGAAGCTTAAGTAATATGGCGAATCGGTGGAGAGGGCTCGAGAAATTTGCATCTTATTAAAGCTTTTCTTCTACGTACGTGTCTCGAGTATATTTACTCGTTTCGTTCGTTTGGGTTCTTATATTTGCGTCTGTTTATTTCGTCTTTCGAGATCCTGTTGAATGTAAAAACTGCATTTGCAAACGCAAATGTAAAGATAGATGATTTTAGTTGAGCAAAAAATGCACTGTAAAAAAGTTTGCCCCAATGCTAAAGTCTGCGAACTATTGTAGGAGGTTTTCAGAAAAAGGAAATGTCCACAATGTTGCTGATTGACATGTGGGGCGTAAAATTTCAATTCACTGCGTAATTTAGAATATGCTTAAAGTTTCTGAGTGATATATGAGAGCGAGTGGTATTCAAAACGTCCATCTAGCGCTCCTTGTGTGGATTCTTTATATTTCAGCAAAGTTGATTTGTGGTCCATGTAAGATTGCAACGTCACTTCTGCAAAAATAAATGGCCTCCTCTAACCCGATGAAAATTTCGCTGTGCGTCTCTTTAAACATATTCGTTTTCGTGTCCTCGCCCCGTCTGAACTACGTAAAATATCGCCCCCTAAATAGAAGTAACGTGCCCATTTTGTAGTTGATAATAGCAGAATACTTTTTTATTTAACTCAGCGAAATTCCGCCTGTCTGATGTTCGAAACTCGACAATGGCATTTTGTGCCGAATATATGGCATTTAATTTCATTTCGTACAATTGGACGGGTTTATTTGGGGCCCATTTTGTTTATCGACGTTGTTACGGTTGAAGGCTGTTTCGGTTCCGCAGGTAGCAGTCACATTCTAATTAGGTTGCCCTTTGTTTTCCATGTTCTTTTGTCATCGAGAGATATTGCAAATTATCGATATCGTACTGCGATTTGCCAGAAAGTCATTCGGTTTGGCAAATTGTCTTGACGATGCCAATAATGTTCAGTGAAGTATGGCAAAGCCGCAATCAAGTTTATACTCGCATTTAATCAAAACGACCTTAAATAACGTTTAATTGCCCCTTAATATCATTTCCCCGAATAAAACTCTCAATCTCACTAAAACGGATCATTATTCCCGGGGACGCTTTACGAGATCGGATACTCATTGCTAATCCAATACTAAAACAAACTATATCTTTCTCATTGATACCATAATAAAGCGCAGAACCGATATCATTTATTTGTTTTCCCAGATCCCTTATTCTGGGGTCGCTTCCTGATGAACAATAAATATTAACGGGTGAAATTAATTCTTAAATCGCTTTCCATCCAGATTGTAAAGAGCTTCAACACTGTAACTTTCGCAGCTGAATGAACGATTCACATCCAATTGATGAGTATTCTGGATCTACAGGGTGGTCGTCAACCAATGTCACAGGATTTACTGACTGTTTAGGCAAAAATATTGCAGTTCAGGAGAATTTGACTTATCTGAAAGTTAATAATTTCCGGGGTGCAGGGTGTCAGAGTGTAAATACAATTTTCGTTCTTTTTTCAGGGATGTGGCTTTAACGAGTTTTACTATGACAAAAAAATTGTGTTTGGGTTTTCAAGATCAAGCAATACATGATTATTTAGTTTGCATTTTTAGAGGGCTCTAGCTGCTGTGGTCTGGAGCCATTCAAACATCAGAAATTTTGTGGGTTTTAAAATATCGCTCTTTCATTGGATTTTTCGCAATCTCCAATATTTCCTAAATAAAAACTAGGTATTTGCTTCAAGTCGATATCGCTCAGGGTTTTCGAGATATTTGAGATTAAAATCTCTAGAGATTTTTTGAACTACGTAACTGAAATTGGATCTGTAAAGGGAAGAAAGATTCTATTAGATTATTAATAGGGAAAAGGGCATTGAAATAAAATAACTATGTATTTATCTCAACACAAGCAGAACGTATTTTATTATGTTGGTGACACAACGAGTTCTTTAAGGCTCTCTTATTAGACTAAAGTTCATCGATATAATTCGGTTGAGCTTAACCATTTATGCTTAGATCAGCGACTCAAAATTACGAGTCGAATTCTCTGAATATAAACATAGATTATGGCTTTTCTCCTTTCTGCTGACAAAGAGGAATGATAACATTTATGTGGTATTTCCAATAGATTCTGCTCAAATTTAGACAAAAATAAAACTTAGCAGACATTCAAAAGCATTTATTTAGGACGTTCAAAAATATTTAAAACTCGGTAAAGTGTTTGAAAAAAATAATTTCATAATGCATTTTCAAAATGAATTCGTCTGTAAATGTAAATTCTAAATGTAAAATGTCCACCACAGTTGTGGACGAAACGTCAGGAAGAAATTCCGATAGACTACGGCTTCAAAGCCCGGAAAACATTCCTAAATGTAATGTAAATTCTAATTAATTCTCTCCTCAGGTAAAAATGTGAGAAAATTGAAGAAAAACCTAGGTAAAGCAAAGCTACAGCGCTTGAGCCACGGAACAGTAGAAACTTGAAAATCATCAGTTTCTAAAGTTCCTTTTTTCTAGAAAAACTGTTTCGTATCCAAAAAGGTCCATCAATTTCTCCTTAAACGTCGTCGCAATAATGCAGTTGAAATTTTCGCTGTTGAATGTGCAAAGACGTTCCTAATCCATCCCGGAAGTTATCGCCGCTCCTGGGAAAAGAGCTCAGCTTCGGTGCTAAATGTTTCATTTGATGCTATAAAAGTTTGATATGAGCGATCCAACCTTGTGGATTCCTGGATATTATTCCCGTATATCCTGACCCGTGGTGCACTCTGTTTGCAGACGCGCCCGTGTGCATCCAGGAACGTGAGGAAGTGTATGGAGCACTCAAGCAGGAGACCGTGACGTTACGATGTCGAGTGGATGCGAATCCGCCAGTAGCGGCATTTCATTGGACATTTAATAACAGCGGGGATCAGACGGACGTGTCCAGCGAAAAGTACACGAACGAGGTAAACATGCTATGATATTTTGGTTTCCAGCTACGATTTAAACTTGCAATATGCTTCAATTGCACATAAATATCGTGTGCGTCCCGTACATGAATCGCAAGGAGAAACACTTGAACAGTTTCCTCAATTTTGTATTTTATTCGATGTTTCTAAAGTTGTTTGTGTTTAGGTGACATCGTCTCGATTGAACTACACACCCAACAACGACCTGGACTATGGTACTCTCCTTTGCTATGGGGAAAATGAAATTGGAAAGCAGAAGGAACCATGTGTATTTCAAGTAGTTATTGCCGGTAAGTTGCTTAAGTATACCAGCAAAAATGCGTCAAAAAAATCCAAAAATTCCTCAATGCCACCCATAACATCACCCGAAAGTGAAAATCGGCTGATTCAAGTGAGGAAAAACTCACTTGATTGGGAAATTTCTGGGAGTTTCCAGGACGTTTTCAGTTACTAAGGAGAAACGATTGGTGGCTGATATATTTAGACGAGTTAAGAAAAAATTGTTACGGAAAAAAAATCTCTCAAGCCTGTCCAGAATATCACTCGAAAGAGAAAATGAGGAAAACCTCACTTTAATAAAAAATTTCTGAAAGTTTTCAGGATTTTTCCATATACTAAATCGTAGGGATGGGTCGTTGGACAACAAGAATTTTTCAAAAATTCGGCAAGAAAACCAAAAATTTATCAATCTGGCCCATAATAAAACTCGAAAGGGAAAGTCGGCGGCTTTCCGTGTGAGGAAAAATCCACTTTACTAGGATATTTCTGAGAGTTTCCAATATGTTTTCAGTTACTAAGACCGAGGCAATTGGCCGTTGAAAAAAAAATTTTTTCAACCATTTGACCAGAAAATTCCAAAAATTCAACAATGCGCCTCATAATATTGCTCGAATGGTAAAATCCGTGCTTTAAGTAAGGCAAAACTCACTTTTACAGGCAATTTCTGGAAGTTTTCATGATTTTTCAGTCACGTAGACGAGTCGATGGCCTATAGGGTACACGAGTTTTTCAAAAATTCGTCAAGAAAAAACCAAAAATCCCTAAACTCAGCCCATAAAATCACTCGAAAGCGCAAAGCGCTTTGAGTGAGGAAAACTCATTTTAATAGGAAATTTCGGGGAGTTTCCAGAATTTTTCAGTTACTAAGCAGAGGCGATTGGACGGTGGAAAACACTGATTTTTCAAAAAATTGACTTGAAAAAGCCGAAATCCCACAATCCGGCTCACAATATCACTCGAATGAGAAAATGGGCTGCTTTAAGTGAGAAAAAAATAACTTTTTGAGGAAATTTCTGGGAGTTTCCAGGGTGTTTTCAGTTACCAAGGGGAAGCGGTAGACTGTTAGTATATTTAGAGGATTTTAAAAAATAATTGTCAAGGAAGAACTAAAAATCGCTCAAGCCTGTCCAGAATATCACTCTTAAATGCGGAAAACCTCACTTTTTCCGGATTTTTTCATGTACTTAATCTAAGCGGTCGATGGACAACACCGATTTTTCAAAAATTTGCCAAGGAAAAACCAAACATTCCTAAATGCGGCCCATAGCATTACTCGAATGAGAAAATCGGCTGCTTTAATTGAGAAAAAACTCACTTGATCAGGAAATTTCTGCGAGCTTCCAGGATGTTTTAAGATCTTAAACTATTGGCCGTTGGCATATACAGAGGGATTAAAAAATAGATTCTAAAGCAAAAACCAAAACTTTCTCAAGCCTGCCCAAAATAACACTCGAAAGGCAAAATCTCACTTTCATAGGAAATTTTTGGGAGTGTTCAGGATTTTTTCAGGTCTAAATCGAAGCGATTGGTCGTTGGACAACACGGATTTTTCAAAAAATTGGCAAAAAAAAATTTCGGAGTCCGGCCCATAGCATCGCTCGAAAGAGACAATAGGCTACTTAAACTGAGAAAAAACCCACGAATAAGGGCAAATTTATTTTAAACTCCAAAATGCTTTTTGTTCTACCAATCGGCCTTTATGTTTTCAGCGGTTTTGTGAAAAACGATCAAACGCGAAAAACTCGGCAGTTTAATTACCGTTTGTTTACTCGCCTGGCTCTATAAGAACTGAAAGTGTTTAGCCTCGAATATGAACCTTGGTGTCTGGCCAAACATCTTCAAATTGTCGCCAGAACAGAATAAGTCGATATTCCCGTCTAGGAGCTTTTTACTAATGTCTTCGATCCATTCAAACAGGCTGGTGAAAAAATCAGTTACGACCATCAACTTAGTTTTTTCATACGGAAGTGCCTGCTTTTCTTTCTCTTCCTGCACGTTTTCAACCATTTCCCGAATTGTTGCACGCACTTTTTTCGGAACTTCTATTTCAACTCTTGCAGATTGTTTGGTCTCCCAACAAAACTTTCGACTTAAGGTTATTCAAACCCTTCTTACACGGGGCCCATCTATGAGAGTTAATTTTGGCGATCTAGGAGGCGATTCAGTAGGTTCTAGCCTTCCTATCCACCGGTTTGGAAAGGATTCATCCAAAAATGTCCGCACACAAATCACGCAAATAAAGACACCAATGCTAGAACTAATTCAAGTTAGGAAAATTCTGGATATGCTTCTACAGTTAGAGCCTGTTTAAAGAAAAAATGGTCCTATTACTCTTCCGCGGGATATTCCACACCAACCTCCATTCAAAGCGGATTTTCTGTTCTGTTGCCCGATATCGACAATTTTGTCGGTTCACATAACCATTCAAACTGAACGTGGCTTTAGCGAAGAAATCACGTTTTTTACTAAATTGTTATGTGGATTGCACATATTTTGCATCCTTTCGCAAAACTCATTTCGTCTATTGAAATCATCTTCAAATAACCATCCTTTGGCACATAAGAGGACGACCACGGTGGATTTGATTAAATAATTAAACTGCTTCTATTTAGGTGCATGTTCTATCACGAAACACAACACTGCAGACAATTTCAGTTTCTTCTCGTTCTGTTAACTTCACCATTTCAAAACCCGATAAATTAAAAATTTTCAATAAGCTGATGTACGCAACCGAACGTATGGTAAACTATGGTTCACTTATTCCCTTGGATGAGATTCATTTTTAAACTTCCTTGCTATTTTGGTTAATATTGTTTACATGTCATACTAGTAATTCAAATTTGAAGAGGAAAATAGGTGCTTCTGTTTAAAAAAAAGATGTTAATGGTAGTATTTGATTTTCTTATTACCCTGTGTAAATAAATTTACTTTGTGCTGGAAGATTAAAGTTACAGCCATCTGGAAACAGTCATTGGGTGGACATGATGAATATTTGAGAACATCATCCTGCACTTTAACCGACGTACATCAAGGTGGATGGTTAATAATAATCTATCTGGCTGCTACATTAACATAAGACTGGGACTTAGTGTAGAAACATGGACAGCCAACAGGATAGTGCAATTTAGTTTTAGCACCGTTCCCATGGGATGTGACCTCAAGCGAAACGGTAGCACACTGTTGGAAACTGGATATCCATTTTAAAGAAACCGATTTAGAATACACCGCTAATATTTCAACTTAATGAAGAATAATTGATGTTATCATCCCGCTTGACGCGGGCCATATGATTACACCAAGCGCGATGAGCTGAGCCAGTTGAGGAGACCAATTTTATTTATGGGGTAAACGTTGAAGAAAAATAATCGAAAACAAGTGGAAACTGCACCCAAACTTCATCCGTGATCAATGCGTTTTAAGTCAATGGAAATTGGCACCGATTTGAATATCAAACCAAATACTCGATTATTAGCGGGGTAACTTCCGGCAGAGAACTCCACCCGAACAAATCGACTTCTGAAGTGCCAACGGAGCAGATAAACAAACCTGCAATTTGCTGGGCGCTTACACCGAATATCTATTCGCTCGGACAAGACAAACTAAGCTAACGGCTAAACTTGGCAGACAATAACGACTGGGGTGTGTCTCTTAGGTCATCATTTCGGGTCAGTTCCAGATCCTTTATCAGGCTTCCTATAATCCTGAGTAATGTGTAATACGAGCCCGAGCCCTATCGCGATGCACAACCGGGTTTTGACCCTCTTCGCGTCTTATTGCGTGAAGGAAAAGGGAATCACGACCTTTACTAATCAATCCGACAGAACTTGAAAAAATTCTGACCCAATGCAGTTGACTTAGTAATTCTTACCCACTACAGTATCTAGTTATGTTTGTGCAATGAATCCCGCCACTCCTGATCATCAGGACACTGGCTTTTTTACTTTTGTTTGTTTTTTCAAGTTGTTATTTATCTCAGCTGTATGTACATTTTTTCAATTTTTTGCTGCAATTAATTTCAACGCGAAAAAATTGCCATTGGAAAGAATAGACCAGATACTAGAGCTTTAAGATGCAAAATAGAACTGAACCTTTAATTTTCGTGTCAAGGAAGCGAGGAATTTAAGGACCTTTGTAGTGGTCACACTAGACTCTTGCAATCTCTAACTGCCGCTATCTTCTCTACTCAAACCCCCAATACTCAAGTAGCTCGACATGCCCCGAATTCCATGTTATTTTTACAGAAAGGATGGGAAGAATTCAACGAAGTCAGAAATAGATCTGCTGTTCTCTTCTGATCCAAGGTAATAAAAAAATATGGCAAATTCTGAGCGAGTTTTGGGCGGTTGCAATATTTAACTGAGAAAATGGTCATTTACTCAAATATAATTATCCAAGATAATAGAAAATGATGGCTGATTTTAAGCGGTTGTTGAACGGAATCCTTTTTTAATTCAAACTATCTTCATTTACTATAATAGCTCGAAATGTATCAATTTAAAAATTATTTTTTTTAAAGAAAGTAACAAGCGCAGAAATAAACACACTTCACACCTGATCCATGATAAACGAAAATTATCCTCCATTCGGATTATTTTCAATTTTTAGCCGAGATTTAATGCACATATGAAATGTGCCTAAGTTGCTTCTGGTTTCTATGGCCAATATTCCACTACTCATGAAGCATCCGATTGAAAAGCACGCAAAAGGAATAAAATTTGTCGGAAATTAAAAAAACATTCAGTTTTGTTTTTCTGTTATTGCTCTCACAAACATTTAAAATTGAAATGCATTTATTGTTGAACTGTTGCAAAATCATAAATTTGCCCTCCGAAAAATTGTAAAATTCTGCAGCATAAATAAATCTTTATGAATATTCATTGAAATGCTTAGCTTAATAAACTACTATTGTGTAACGGATTCTTGCTAAATAAATCTCACTCAATTGAATTTAAAGCGTATTAATTTTGGCTTGATTTTATATGGAGCGCTCATGTTACATTTAACGCAACTT